TAATTTATTAATTAATGATTGATACAATTAAATTATAGAACTAAAGAGCTTTCCATCAGTGGCAGGAGTTTAATGAATGAAATATATCTCCCTCATTCTACCTTGCTCTGTACGACTTAATTAATATAATAGAATGTTCTTTCTGAGTATGAAAGTGTTTATTTTCAGGTTCATTGTCTTTACTATAATTCAATGTTTATATTAGTGTGTTTTTAAATTTCATGATCAAATGTTGATATGACTCAAATACTGTTTTCCTACAAAACTGACATTGTAAAATCCCAGTGGCCAGTGTGACATCTTAGCAGGAGGTTTTTGGGAGGGGATTAGTCTTTGGGAAGTGGAATTAGTGCCCTAGAAGAGAGGTGAGAGACTGCTCTTTTTGCTTTCTGCACTAAAAGACTGGCCCTAAGGAGCAGATGGCCACCTCCAAGTCAAGAAGCAGACTTCAGAAATTTGATCTTGGACTTCACAGCACCTGATACTATGAAAAGTAAAAGTTTGTTATTTAAACTTCTTAGTCTGAGGTATTCTTTACAGCAGCCTGAACTGACCAAGACAAACATTTTCTCAAGTGCTATCCAAAATTATATTAGTTTTGCATCATTTTAATTATATGTAGTTGAATTCTGCATGGCTAAAAAGTGAGGTACTAAAAAAAAATCAAACTTCTTCATATCTGATTACCTGAACTTTTTGAACATAAATAACTACTCTGAAAAACAAAACAATTCTTAACTAACTCCTGGCTTGCTTCACTTCACAAATTGTATCATCAAGAAGACTTGTCTTGTTTCATGTGCTACCTTAGCACACAGTACAATGGTGTTCCATCCTTTATAATTTTTAATTGCTTTTTCTGTGCTTAGCTGTTTGCCCTCTCACACCAATCCAAAGATAAGCACATTGCTATGAATTTTGAGGGAGGAAAGATTCTTTGTAACTGTCTACATTGGATATCCAACAAGTCTTGACTTTTGTAGAGTTAATGATATTTTGAAGAATGATTAAAACTTAGTTGAACTGTAAGAGAGATATAATATTTGCTTCTTTTGTGCTTTTCAGCTAAGACATATAAGTAACAAGACACTCGAACTTTCCTTTTTATTTTTTTCTTATAAACAACAAAATCATTTAAATTTCCAAATTATGAAAGATCTCTCTCTGTCTCTGTCTCTGTCTCTCTCTCTGCCTCTGTCTGTTTGTCTGTCTGTCTCTCTCTCTTTCTCTGCCACTCATGCTCTTGTTCTCATTCTTTCTGTTTCTATCACTTTCTCGTCTCTATGTGGTCTTCTTAAACCTGTGGGTTTTTTTTTTTTGTCACACATAAGTGGTTAAACTAACTTGATTAGGAGAGAGAAGATTAAGGATTATGAAACATCATCTTCAAAGAGAATGCCTCTTTTGTTAAGTTCTTTCATTGTGTTTAGTTCCTCATTTTTAAAAGCTAGGACACTGTACTTTAAAATATTTATTTCTTAAGATGTTCATTCAGTAGACATTATTGGGGGAAATGGGGGAAAATTCTACACTATACTATATTACTGTACTATACTGAACTACACTATACTGTACTATACTATACTTTCCATACAAAAAGTGGAAATCTTTTTTTTATTCAAATAGCCCACCATTGCTGGAGGAGATTCTACCTCATAACAGGTAATCGACGGCACAGTGGAGCCACTAATAAGCTAGACTAGATTTATGCTGCATCTCATTCAGGGTCCTGTAGGTTGAGAATGTGATTTCTAACAGAAACTCAATATAATAAGGGGAATGTATTTGCAATGGAAATTTGACTTATATCATGATTGAACTAAGAACTTTATGTTGAGTGTCTCTACCGGATACTGACATACAATGAATTACTGACACGGGCTGATGTTTTTCTTTGTAGGTAGCCAACAACTACAGGAGGCCCATCTCAGCCAACCAACCTGTAGATGATGCCAGCGAAGACATTTATGTTAACTACCCAACCTTTGCTAGAAGACCCAAACCTAGATATTGAACCTCTATCTTGAACTCTTGACCTGAGCAAATTAATATTATGTATGTGGAGCTTGCAATGATTCTTCCTTCTACCCAGTATCTGCTTTGAAGTTGTTCAAATTTGATAGAATTGTTTCATTTGATAGAAAAATACTGCATTATGTAGAGTACATTCTTAATAGGAATATATCAGAAAACTTGAATTTAGCTTATGTGGACAAGAAAATTTAACTGACTCATATAAGGAAAAGCTAGGAAGATTAAGCTTCAGGCAAGGGGTTGCTTACTAGAGCTTCAGTGTCATTTCTAGAATTAAATAAGGGTGAAAATTGGTTTTGGATTTCTCTCTCACAGGGGTAGATCCACTTCATTGGCATGCCCTAACTAACTCTGATGGAGGTTTTCTTGTGCTTCCCAGGTAGCTACCAATGACTACAATTTGTACATCTTTGTTCTATGTTTGGTAGAGAGTTTGCTTGTATTAACCAATGTATTTGGTTATCCATCTATCACTAAGTAAGGATCTTGGTCACAATAGATTACCATAATTGGCTGGGACCAAAGGACATTATTGGCTAATTCATGTATGTCAAATAAAGAAAGGGGATTGGGAAACTGGTGATTACCACAAATGTTAACCACCATGATTATGCAGGATTATCTCTTGCTAATGAATTGAACTCAGTATGGAGCAGAATAAGATTAGTTCCTCTCTCTCTTCTAGAATCTTCTCTGTCAGCATAGTTCAGAGTACCTGGCAGGAGAACAAATAAATAGTCAAGAGAAAGGTAAAAACGACATGCTTATCTCTTCCCTTT